TTATTAAAGCCAGAAAGGAGCATTCTGAACACAAAAGATAAGAAAAAAAGGGAAGAAACTTCCTTGGCTCCCATACATTAAACTCCTGCAGTCCTGCATATACTAGAAATGTAAAATCTACAACGTTCTGAAATGTCCTTTGTCTAATGATTTGTAACTTTTTATGTTAAAAAGCGAATATAGCCCTACAGCAAATGTTCTTTTGCTAGAGCACTCTCTTGGGAAGATTGTGTATCTGGGGTGGCTCTTCTGACTTGGGCTCGACTAAAAACTCCTCCTTTTTTACCAAAATTCGAAAAGGTTTGTTTTGTGTCAACGGTTGTGTTTTCCACGTGTTTATTCGCCACGTGAGTATTTTCTGTGATTTGCCCATACGTGTCCTTGGTCAACATCTTACTGTTTTGTTTGCCTTTTACTGATGGATTTGTAGTTTTTCATATGATCTAGAGAGAGCAGCACTTGTCTGTTATGATAGGGAGCAGAGGGCAAGCTGACAGGCAAACACCACCCCCGCAAAGGTGGGGTGTGTTTGATACTCCTCGGCACTCCTGGCTGCCCAAGAACAAAGGAAAGGAGAAAAACAAATGGTTAATGGATAGAGATCATAGTCCTGTAGGACCTGAGTCTCCATCTATTTACAAATATCTTAGTAAATCACAAGAAAAAGGCAATCTTATCAAAAGCCTAATCTCCAGAAACCTACAGACTTGTTTCCTTTAGCCCCAAACTCAACCCTCCACAGTGATGTGGGGAAGGAAGGCAGAAGGAAATGGCAGACAGAACACAATTTCCTTATAACCTGCAGCCCATTGACAAATACTTGAGGCAAGCAGAGTATAACATTCCTCCAGGAACTCCGTACTGTCTTAATGCTAATAATTTGCTAGAAGGAAAAACAATCTTAGCTTGACAATAGCTAGGCCTCCAGGATCCTGTGAATCTTCTTTAGCATATGAAAATCTCACTGGAAACTTCCACTAGACTTTACCTCCAACTCCATAGTATATAACCAGTGTCCCCTCATGGTCCTGGGGCAGCTCTTCCTGCCCGTGGGTCCTGTCCCTGTGCTTTAATAAAACCACTTTTTTGCACCAAAGATATCTTCAAGAATTCTTTCTTGGCTGTCAGCTTCAGACCCCGTGGACCCCCCCTTCACCCCAAAACCTCATCATGTTATATGTGTACATATTCTCTCTGCACCTCCAGTTTGTTTTTTTAGTTTCACTGGTGGCATCTAAACATGTGGGCTTTTGAAATTTCTTAAAACACATTTTTTTCCACATTTATTTATTTTTGAGAGACAGAGCGAGACAGAGCGTGAATGGGGGAGGGGCAGAGAAAGGGGGCACACAGAATCTGAAGCAGGCTCCAGGCGCCAAGCTGTCAGCACAGAGCCCGACAGGGGGCTCGAACTCACGGACCCTGAGATCATGACCTGATCCGAAGTTGGACCCTTAACCGACTGAATCACCCGGGCAGCCCCCCTCTTTTTTCTTCACATTTACGAAATTAATTGTAGTTAAATATTTTAATTTTCTTCTTCACAATTTTGGGAGACACTTGGGCTGGATTACACATAACATTTTTGCAAAGATGCATGCTGAAACAATGATGCCATCGAGATGTATGTGGAATGCCACACTGAGGGAGCAGGGCAAACATTTGTGGCAAGCCTCTGTGTGCTAGCATGGGGTTTATCCACACCAAGTCATTTGATCCTTACAGAACTTTCCCAAAGTAGGCAATGTTGCTTCTGTCTTATACCCGAGCAAACTGAAGTTCCAACGTCCCACAGCTAGTAGGTAACATAGTTGAAATGGCCCTGCCTGTCCAAACTGTGACTGCAATCATAGTATTTAATTAGCACTTGGGTTTATAATTGCGTATGAGATAGGTGTACACTTGGCTTCAGAGAGGTTAATGGGAAAGAAACCTGGAAGTTGTGTTTGATCTGGTGGCTAAGAAAGTGAGGGGACATACACAGTGGTGTGCTCGTCTGGGACCGGATCACCCCTGGAACGTCATGACCGGTGTCCAAGGGAAAGATTCAAGGCAGTTTAACACAGATTTTATTTAGTAACCACTGACTGTAAGAAAAAGTGCTGAGCTCCGTTCTGATTTGTGCAGAAGTGATTTGGACAAGCGAGGGAGATGATGAGGACCTAGAGGTGGAGTCGGAGAAGTGAAGAACTTCCAAGGGTTGGTCAGTGTAAATGCAAGTAGGATCACTCTGTTTGCGAGCTGGCAGCTGCAGAAGTTAGGGTTCTATCCGCCAACAGAGACTGGGAAACAAACGCCCTATCCTTCCTGAGGACTATATTTCAAAGAAATGACTCACAGGTGAGAGAGAGAGAGAGGGAGAGAGACTTCTGCATTGTTAGAGATACATGTTCACAGTTGTAAGCCCTTTGAGAGGTCAGGGCCTCATCAGATTTGCCCGGAACAAACCTTGATTCTGGAAGCCATGAGAATAAAAGACCTCAATGATTAGAAAGTAATAACTGATGGACAAGATGGATTCCCTGACGCCAAGGGAGGAAACACTAACATTTTAAATGGGCCAGATGACCATGAGGAACAAAGCCAGTCACACAGCCTAAGGTGACAGGCTTGCACAAAATTCAGCAAAAATGTGCAAAAAAGACCCTGCAGCACATTGTATCATGCTCTCCAAAGGCTGCCACCTCCTGAAACTACCACCGGAAATATCAAACTGCAGCCTGCTTGCCATTCTGCTTCAGAGACTGGTTGTTTGGGACACGAGTCTGACCAGTCTCCATAAAGGGCACGGAATTTGTGTGTTTTGTCTGTTTAACCTGAGCCGAATCCTTCCCCTTCAGAGCACACTCTTGGTTTGTAGGCGAAGATGGCGTTTGTCCGTTTGCAGACTGCATGATAAAGCTTCTCCATGGCTCTGACCAAATCTGGCGACTCCAGGGTTTTTGCTGACAAGCTTTCTTAGGGAGACAGTTTATGGGGGTTGGGTAGCAGTAGCAGCACTGGGGACAACCTGGGGACAGGCCCTGTGCAACTAGAAGTCACACTAAAGGTCAGTCAGGTGGCTTAGTCTTGCAGGCGTCCACAGGAGGTGCTACATGCTGAGGGCTGTGCAGTTCTCACTAGTTCTCGGACCCACAATGTATGAGCAACATTAAATACAGAGAATGGGAACCAGGATAGAAGAGTCTGGAAGTCACATCGCATCAGAACCTTGAGAGAACCGGGCTTCGCCTAGAAAAGGTAAAGTCTAGGTAGTTGTTGCAAGTGTGTTACAGAGGTGCACGCATGAGTTAGGAATTCACACGTCAGCTTTATTCAGTCACAGAGCAAGATTAACATAACTGTAAAGCAGGTTCAGGATTTCAAAGTCAGTGACATTTTGCTATGTGTTTGACTTGGCTTCTCACACTTCACAGAAAGCAAAGCATAAGGCAGAGTCACCCGACAAACGAGATACAACAAGGGGTAGGAAGTTAACAAACCAAAGTCAAAGTCAGTCTGGGAGTGTGCAATTGAGATAAGGGCTCGGTCCAGTCAGGGTGTGCTCTTGGCATGTTGTGCTGCTTGTTATCTTCAAGCTGTGGAGAATCTCTGTTCAGAGATCAAAAGGGTGAAGCCTTCCCTGGTAGTTGCCTTTTTGATGTGGTCAGACATGAAAAGATCGTTATCTAGAAAGTCTGACAGTTTGCTGCAAAGATTCTCCCTTTTTAAAGGAGTTTAATCAGTCTTGGGCCTTTGCAGACCTCCTTTGCTTTTGCTAGTTATCCGTTCTGGGTATCCTCAGCTTGTGCTGTGTCGGGTGGTATCTGGTCTTAGCTACTCTCTGGCTCTCACATCACTGCTTAACATAGGTCACTGACACCAGTGACTCTAGCTTGCTTTCTATGGGCGTAATAACTCTTTTCAATACATCCAAGATAGTTATGAGAACCAGGGATCACTCTAATCCATGGTGGATCTGGGCGGGGGGTGGGGGGGATAGTGACAGGTGCAGGGAGGAGATTTCTGCCTCCAGGAAGAATTTTTTTTCCTGGTGATCAGGGCTGCTCAGTTTGGGACAAGGTTGCTGGGCAACCGAGTGAGCTCTCCATCCTAGGAGTGATAGAGCAAATGAAGCTGCAAGTAGGCGGCTTAAAATTTATTCCAGCGGAAACTTTATTGACCTTAAAGATAAAACATTAAGTTATTTTGCCAGCAAACCGCGTTTATCCGGGAATAGCAAAAAATTGCAATTCAGGACTTGCAAGCTGCGTTTGGCAAGCCCAACAAAGGCGAGGACGTTATTTCAGGAAGGAGGAGGAAGCTGGGCGGGTTGCTTTGAACTGAAAGTTCAGTGAAGTTCACTGGAGTTTTACGTGATGCAGGTTTCTCATTGACTGTGCTGCTGGGGGTGCTGAGACGTGCCACACATCTTTTCCTGCGGGAGCCTGGGGGCTGTGGCTTCCTTCCCGTGGAAGATTCTTCTCTGGGGGTCTATCATTGACAGTGCTTCCTGCAATTGGCAATTCTTCTTGCAATTGGCAGGGAGTGGTGCAGCCCGAGGGCTCCACTTTAGTGAGGTTTCCCTTTGTTAATTTTGACAACTTTCTCTGGTTGCATTTACCAGGAGGGGTGGAACGCAGGCGTGCTCAGTAAGGGTGCTGGCAGCAAGCAGGAGATCCGGGGGAGCAGGCTCTGGGAAACTGGGGCGTGCGCGGGGCTCTGAAGCCACGTTGGGGAAGCTGCTGCTCGGTTTCGAGCGCACAGCGGCCTCCCGGGTAACCGCAGCGACGAGCGCGGGGCAGGAGCCCCACAGGCCTCGGGAGCGCAGAACCGGGGTAGACTAGAAGGCTGCGGCTGCCGGAGCAGGGAGCCTGGCGGGCGGCGCGCGACGGCGGGGGCGCGCGGCCCGGCGGGGGCGCGCGGCTCGCACTGGCCTCCGGCTCCGGAAGGGGGCGGGGCCGCCCGCGCGCCCGTTACTTAAGCGTGCGAGAGCCTGCCGCGCGCCGCCGAGGCTCCTCAGCTGCGCTCGGAGCGGTCGATCGCTCTCGCGCCCGCAGCCTGCGCTCCGCTCGCCGCTGGCTCCGCCCGCCATTGTGTAAGTGCGGCCGCCGCTCGGCGCGCCGCCCGCGTGCTGGGCGCGCGGGCCGCGGGATGGGGCGGGCGGCGCGGAGATGGGGGGGCGGGGGGACGGCCGCCTCTGGCTCCTCAGTGCCCGGATGGAGGCGAGCGGGAGGGAGGAGGGGGCGGCCCCCCGGCGCCCGCCGCGCGCCGGCCTCCCTCGGGGCCCCTCCCCGCCGAGCGGCGCGGGCTCCGCGCAGCTCCGCCCGGAAGCCGCGGCCGGGGCGCGGGCGGGGCGCGGGCGGCGCTCGCGCGAGGTCGCGCGCCCTCGTTCGCTGGGAGGCGGTCTGACGCGGCGTCTGTGTTCCCTTAGTGCAGACGCCTGCAGTGCGGTATGGAGCGTGCCTTTACCCCGTTGGAGCCCCTGCTTCCCACCGGTACTGTATTTTTGTCCACGTCTCAGTGTCACCGACGCGCCCCTCCTCGAAGCCGCCTCCAGTCGGCCCCTGACTCCCGAGTTCTCCGCCGTCTGCCTCAGTTTCCCCATTTGAACAAGCCAAGCGTAGACCTTAGTCCCTGCCACGTAGAGTGATGAGGACTGAGTACCTGGCTCACTGGATGCGGTCCACCTGGGGAAGAGGGCGCGCCGCCTGCGGCCTTAGCCCCTCGGCCTCGGACCGCTGGAGCCGGGCTGTAACCAGATTATCAGGCACCGAAGGGGTTAAAGGCAGTCAGCCTCTCCGAACAGGTTACAAGTGGCCATACAACCCATTTTAAAGCTGTAACACTCACTTGAGGATTTCTTTACTTGGTTAAAGCTTAAAATTATTGTGACTCCCAGGGCGGCCGATGGAAAAGTAGAGCTTTTGTGAGGCTAGAAATCGGTCCGCTGTGTAATGGACACGTGCTCATTGGGAGTGGGGGAGGGGCAGGGAGGGCTCGAGAATCCCAAGCGGGCTCCACGCTGCCCCAGCTGCGGAGCCTGACCTGACGCTCCGACGCAGGAAAAGTGAGATCGTGACCTGAGCCAAAACTGAGAGTTTGATGCTTAACCAACCCCGCGGGGTCCCGAGCCACGCACGTGCTCCAATCATTTCTTACTCTGCAGTAGATTTCGTAGCCAGTTTCTACTTGTGTAGAGCTTCTCTTTTATCAGTTCATAAATTTAAACAATAATTTATTTAAAAAAATTTTTTTTATTAAGTTTATTTTTTGAGAGAGAGACAGAGCAGGAGCTGGGAGGGAGCAGAGAGAGAGAGAAACAAAGTATCCGAAACAGGCTCCAAGTTCTGAGCTGTCAGCACAGAGCTTGACATGAGCCGGAGCAGGGGCTGGAACTCACAGAGCATGAGATCAAGACCTGAGCCAAGTCCTGACACTTAACTGAGTGAGCCACCCAGGCGTCCCCAGAATGCATAAAGTTTACTATAAACACATGAATAAGTGGCTTTGTTAGGGTATTGAATTTGAATTTGCCCAGTTGTTCCACACCTTGGGAGGATTGATGGTAAAACAAAGAATAGAAAGGGGGAGGGGGGGAACTTTGACTTCTCAACTCTCCAGTCCCTTACTAGCCTAAGTTTTTCACATGAACCTTCGAATCTTATTTTCAAGAGAAGAAAAGCAGTAGTAGAGCTAGAATCTGAACCCAGATCTGTGGGACCCTTGTTAAGAGGTTGAGAGTTATTTGTGTGAACAGCGTTTCAAAAGTATAGGAAAGCATTGGCAGAAAAAAATGTGGCCAAATATTTTGCAAAATCAAGTTCTTAGCACTCAGTTATGCAGTAGTAGCGAATCCAGTGGCATTTCCGTGAGTAGACATTTGATCCATGTGGCCTGTTGATATTCAGTGTTGTGAAAACCTAAGTGCTTTACTGTGATCAAGGAAATTTACAACTTCTTATATATCTGGAACCTGCTTCTGGGCTCCCTGGGAAGTTATACTCTAACATTTACTCACGTCAGAGTGACTGCAGAACCTAAAAGCACGGGCTCTATTTGTGACCCGAGCACAGATTGTACCTCTGCTCTGTAAAGCCAGAAAGGAGCGTTCTGAACACAAAAGATAAGAAAAAATGAAGAAACTTCCCTGTTCCCCATAAGATTAAAATCATGCATATTATAGAAATTTAAGGTCTGCAACTTTCTGAAATGACCTTTGGTGATTTGTAACTTTTTATGTAAAACATACTGATAACCCTCCACCAAATGTCCCTTTGCTGGGACACTCTTCTCTGTGACTGTGTATCCAGTGCTTGGATAGCACCTGGCCTTGAATAAAACTCTTTCATTTTCTAGAAATTCTAAAAGATTTGTTTTGTGGCAACAACTGACTGAAGGTTTCTCGTGTGTTCTAGATCGCAAGGAATAGACTGTAGAGATAGCGTAGTATAGTACAGTTTGGATCAAGGAATTTGTTTAAACCCTAGTTTTGCCACTATTTACTCGTGTTTAATAACAAAAATTTAACCGAGTGGATTTTAATGTTTTTTAATTTTTTATTTTTGAAAGAGAGCGTGAGCAGGGGAGGGTCAGACAGAGAGAGAGAGGGAGAGGGAGACACAGAATCTGAAACAGGCTCCAGGCTCTGAGCTACCTGTCAGCACAGAGCCTGACGCGGGGCTCTAACCCACGAACCGTGAGATCATGACCTGCGCTGAAGTCGGATGCTCAACTGACTGAGCCACCCACGTGCCCCCATTATTATTGTTTTAATTTTATTTCCAGTGTAGTTAACATGAAATTAGTTTCAGGTGTATAATAGTTAAAAAAAAAAAAAAGAAAAACCATGGTTAGATGCCAGAAAGCAGGTGGCAGCGCCTTACCCGTGTGCGCACGTGTTGTCAGGCCTGAGGCCCTCTTCCGTCCTCCCTTTCATACAACACCCCAAGTTTTGCTTTTTAATAGGCAGTATAGACTCCTATGAACTAGTCTTTCTTAGTAGACATTTGCATTCATTATAATCTGCAACGCATATCTTTGATCATGTTTTTGCATGTATATGAATACATCAGTAAGGTAACCTTCTGTAAGTGGAATTGTTGGGTGAAAGGGGATGTTTGTTATCAAGAGGCACTGACCATTAGCTAATGTACGTTCTTTGGTGGTAGGTGCTGCGCGGGTGCAAAAGTGAAAGGTCTGAGCCCTTCTGTCCGCAAATTTATGGCCTGGTTGGAGAGTTGAGAACAGAACAAGATGGATTCTAGTTAAGTGTGAATTAAGTATTACAGGAAACTAAATAGGGAAGGTTGGGACTCGGGGAGGACAGGAGGGCAGTTTGGAGGAGGCAGGCAGTCTCGGAGGGGATAGACCTGTGCGTCTCTGCAGAAGCACTGGATGTAACTGAGAGAACCCTCGGGTGAGCAGAAGAGCAGTCAGGTGATGTGTCTTGAGTGAAAGCAGGGCCTCTGCTGCCCTTCTGTGAGCTCGCCTCCTGGTGAGAGAGGGGGAAGAAGGTCTGACTAGATGGGCGAGTGCAGGTGGAGATTTGGGTTGAGACAGGAAGGTAAAACCAGATTGGTGAGGAGAGAGAAATTCAGTGCAAGGTGGAAGATCAGAAAGTTTCTGAAAGTTTCTGTATCCTGCCCCCCCCTTGGAACATTCCATACAATGCTGCCCTCCCTGTCACGGTTCACTAATCATATATGGTTGAAGTCCTTTTCTTGGACTTGAGGATCCTCCGAGCTCTGATTTCTGCTTACTTTTCCAGAATGCATGTTTATCTTTCCCTCTCTGTGCCCAAGCCAAGTCAACTACCCACTGTTTACTTACTTGAACATTTGTTCTGGCTTTTGATACTCTTGCCTTAATTCATGCTAAATTCCCTGCCCCCCTCCCCCCCACCCCATGTTCTTTTCAGTCCTTGGAATTAGTCTTAAATTTTGGCCATTTGGCAGGTGTGTAGAGGTATCTCTGATTTTAATGTAGATTTCCTTTATGTCAGAATGCTGAGCTTTCACATGTTTACTGGCCTTTTGCAGATCTTTTTATGAAATATGACTCTTGCCATTTTTCTAGTGGGGGGGCTTTCCTTTTTTATTTTATTTACATTTTTATTATTAAGTGTACGCCCAACATGGGGTTTGAACTCATGATCCTGAGATCAAGAGTCTTACATTCATCTGAGCCACCCAGATGAAAAGCCACCTTTTTAAAAATCAATGTGTAGGGGGTGCCTGGGTGACTCAATTGGTTAAGCAGCTGACTGGTCCTGATCTTGCTGTTCGCTGGTTCAAGCCCTGCGTCAGGTTCTCTGCTTTCTGCTGTCAGTGCTGAGCCCCCTTCACATCCTCTGTCCAGCAGCCCATACCGTCCTCGACCCTCCCCAGCTTGCTTGTGTGCACACTCTCAAAAATAAACATGTAAAGAAAATTTAAAAATCAATTTGCGGGAGTTTTTGTTTTTCTAAAAATTGAGGTATAACTTACATAACATGGTATTAGTCTTAAGTGTACAGCTTAATAATTTGATATATGTATACAGGTTTGCAGCGTGATTACCAGATAGGAGTTTCTTCATATATTCTGGAAACAGTTCTTTAAATCTAGAGTTTTCCCCTCAAAGAAGTAGGGAGAATGAGACTTTCCAAGGATGACGATTGTGAAGATTTAAGAATACCTGCAAAGCATTTTAACACTGATGTATAGTGAGATTACAGACATGTTTATTTTTCTCATTGCTTTCTCAACTTTTTATTTAAAGGTTTTAAATTCATGATGAATTATATTTAAGTGGCATAAGTATGCAATTGCTGTTTTAAGCTCTAAATAGAGGGATGGCTTTTCAAAATATTTTTATAGATAGGGACTTTTTCTGGCTTTGTTCTTCAGTGTCTGTGATCATTTGATTTTGTTTTTTATCGTGAAGCTTTATGTTCAGAGCTCCATGTGTTTGAAAGTAAAGTTGATTTAACACCTCAAAGCAAAATAAAAAGTGAAGAATCAGACCATCTTCAAGATAATTATTTCACATGTGCTTATTTCACATAAGCCACAGCAAATGGAGAGGTTTTCATTTTTGGCTTAATAAAAATACTGATGTTATTTTAAAATTTTTATACTTCTACAACTTAGTGCATATGCATCATAAAAATTTAGAAGATACAGATAAACAAAAATGAAGTAAAAATGCCATATTCCAGCTTCTCAGAGATGATCACTGTTACTACCATGTATGTATAAGTGGTGTATGTGTACTTATATTTACATCCCTCTACATATTTGTTGTGTATAATTATACAGTTAGGTATTTTTAAACCTAAACGAGGACATACTATAAGTTGTTTTGTTCAATCCGTAAGTAACTCCACTTTTTCCCTGTGAAATATTATAGTACCTGACCATATTTAAATTTTCCCATTGTTGCAGAATAACTTTTCCAGTTGCTCATTGCAGACTTGGATCACCTGTGCATTCTTCAGTCTTTTTACTTTTTTTTA